TTATCTTTTGCAGATAAACTGACGCCTAGAAGGCAAATCAAGTCCAAGGACATTTATTATGATGAGAACAATGTCGTCAGTTTGAATTTCATAAGCGATTTGAGTCGTAATTTATTAACGGAAATAGCATTTCAAACTTTACCACCATCCGGTATTTCAATTCCTATGCCAAAAATGATACGTAAAAAAGATTGGCAAATTAATCGGTGAGAAAGGATTATCTTATTTATTGTTAATTGAAAATGATCTTAACACTAGAACTACTATCAACACACTCTAGTCATTTTAAATGATTGAGATGTTTGATTTGATTTGATTTAATTTGTTATGAAGAATATTTTGATAACAAATGATTTGTTATTATTGTATTTATTGTTATTATATAGAGTAGTTTTTAAGATTTGAGATTGTAATACAATTTATGTGATTTTTAAATGAAAAATTTAACAATTGTTTTAACACTAGGAACAACAACTCCACCCTATAGTCATTTTGAATGATTAGTTTTTGATTTGATTTGATTTGATATCAAGAATATTTTGATATTAAATATTATTTATTATTAATTTTATTGTTATTATATAGTTTTTTTGTTTTTTTTGTTTTAAGATTTCAGAACATTGAATTCATTTTATAAAATAATAATCAGTCAAAATATTCTACGTGTTATTTTAAAGAATACTCATTTTGACTAGTTTTGTTAGAGATTATTAAGTGTCAACTGTCAAATAGTTCTAGTTGTTAATATTATAAAAAAAAAAAAGAAGAAAAAGAGAAAAAAAATGATTTCCGTCATTAAATTTCAGTCCGAAGATGATATTATCAGAAAATTTAATCGAATATGAACAAACGTTTTCTTATTTACGTTGGTATCTGCATGAAGAACACCATATTGCATTTTCCTCTTCCTCATCTGATGTCTTATCACGTGAAACCAAACGTATTATCAATGATTCGTTTAAAATTGACAAGTTATGAAACTGTCAACGAAAGAAAAATCCTTTTTTTTTTATTTTAAACGAAAATATATTCAAAGATTGATGAAATTCAAATTAATTGGGTAATTCAAAAAAAAACACACACATTTTTCAATTAATCTAAATAATTCTAAATAATTAAAATTGATACGCGTTGAGTGACAGGTTGTGTTGTTAGATTAAAAATATAAATAATAATAATAATAATAATAAAAACAAATTAATAATTAATGATTAACAAATAAAAAAAACAAATTATTAATTTCCAATTAGTTAGTTGTGTGATGAATGAATGAATGAATGAATGAAATGTGCGATATGTGAGGCGGTAGAAAAGGCGGTAACGTTTAGACGTACTACAAACAAGTATGGTCGATCTCATATGGGCGGAGCCTATAGTCTGACGAATGACGGTCAATGGTCCGCGCGTAGATATGGCGCTCGTCTTAACGATATAACCTTGTCTTTCTAATTATCATCTTTTTATCATAAATTATTATGATCTTCGTTAAATATATATGTATATATTAATCAATGTAAAATATATTATATTAATCTATATCTATATATAATTATTAAATAAATATCAATAAATAAAATCTCTGCAAACACATAAAATGTTACTACTACCGTACTTACAAAACAAAACAAAAAAACAGGGAATTTAATAATAATTATAAAAATAAATTATATATATGATAATTATRAAAAAAAAAAAAAAAAAWTAGATCACAAATGCATTGTTTTTTTTTTGTTTTTAAATATAAATTAAATAATTAAGCCTCTTGTTAAAGACTAAATGAAATGGTATTGAATAGTTAAATGTAATTTAACAAAAATGAAGCTTGTGTATTATTTGATAAGGAATTAAATATTGTAATAACTCCTCCATCCAATAATAATAATAATAATAATAATAATAATAATGAAGAAGAAGATTAGATAAATGTGGAATTATAATAATGCAAAATGTGGATTTGTGTTTTAAAAAGGTGGGGGGGGGGACAGCAGAGATACGACTGTCGACTGTCGATTTTTTTTTTTTTATATCTTCCAGATTAAAGATTTTATTGAAATATAAGGAAAATCTGTACCAGACAGAACTAAAAATGATGAATTTTTGGTACTACTACTTGAGGGGGGCGGGGCGGAGCGGAGCGGGACGGAGCTGGGCNCATACCTGCGTAACCACTGCGTTATTTTTTTTTGTTTTTTTTTTTTTTTTATTATTATTATTCTCATGCTTACTTTATAAGTAGGTTTGAATGTTATAAGTACACAAACAATATTGAAGGTACGCGCACAGTCTATTTGAAAATGTCTAAACCTATAAACAGGAGTTTTCAATTTTTTTTGTTTTTGTTTTTCTTATCTTTCGCTAGACCAGCAGTTGCACTGTTGTATTGTGTGTTGGTGGTTTATTGTTGATTGATATTTTTTTAAATATATATATTGTTTTTTTTAATGCATAAAGAGACTCGTCGGGGGGGTTTGTTTGTTTGTTTGTTTTTTTCTCTTCCGCTTGCCATTTTTCTTGTTCTTTTATCATCATCATCATTATCATTTGTCATTTTCGCTATTTACAATTTTGTTCATTATTTTTCTTTTCTTTTCTTTTCTTTTATATATCATCATCGGCTAAAAGATTTCTTTTTTTTTTTTTTATTATAATTCAGAGCGCGGAATTATTATTATTATTATTATTATTATTATTATTAATATTAATATTATTACTATTATTAATAATATTATTGTTATTATTAATTTCTTGTTCATTTTGATATTTACAACTTTTTACACGATATTATCATCTGTCTCTCTCTCTCTCTCTCTCTCTTTTCTTTCTTTCCAATATACAAGGTGTGTTTCAAAAGATTATACAATAATTTGTTTTCTTTTTTTTTTCTTATTCTTCTTCTTCTTTCTTACTTTGTAATTTATTTCACCATTGCAATTTGAATTGCTAGGGAAATTGAACTTATTTATATACAATTATCCCCAGATATGAAAACTTGACGCAATTACGTATATATATATATATATATTATATTAATTGTTAAAGTATATAAATTCATTGAATTCATGAAATAACTAAACGTTTTAGTTAAACCATATAAAAAAGTATTTTATTATAAACTAATTAATATTAAAATGTGCTTTTTTTTATTTCTATTAACAATAATGCTTTAGCAATCATCAATATTTGTTCTTTTTTTTATCTTTTTGTTGTTCATCACATTAATTTACACAACACATAATGTAAATATATTTACAATTTCCAAATAAAAATGCATTTTTAATATAATATTTGAGAGATATAGAAAAAATTGCAAAAAAAAAAATAAAAAAAGAAACAAAAAAAAGCAACAAGTGTATAAAACCTTTTCTTTTTTTTTCTGTTCTTTTTTCAAATGAAATTACGACAAAATCATTTTATAAAAAAAAATTGGGTGTAAAACAACAACAACAACAACAACACTATATAGAAAATACTTTCTCAAACTTTTCATTCTCAAGTTCTTCACACATTAATAATTCATACCAATGAACGGTGCAATAATATTTGAATATTTTTTTTGTTATATGTTGGTAGTGATCAATCATATCGTGACTTTAAATGAAAAGTTAAATAAAAATAAGCTCGGTGATTTAATATGTTAAAGTATGTAATTCTACGTTATTTTTTTTCATACAATTAACTGGTCGGTATAGTTATTTCATACATTAACAGATCGCTATAGTTATTTCGTGAATTAACGTATTTTATACTTTAACGGTAACATATATATATACATGTATATATACGTGTTTACGTTTTGTTAACTTAAGAGATCTTCTTTAGTTATTTTCGGGACTCTTTTTATCTTTACTTATCGTAATGATAATAATATTAACGTCAAGTTTCAACGTAAATATAAAAGACAAGTAGTAAAAAGTAGTAAAAAAAAAAAAAAAGACACAGAAGTAAAACCACAAAGGAACAAAATTATCAACGCAAACGAAATTGTACGTCCAAGGATAAATTTGTCTTCAACGGGGGATACATCATCATCATCATCATCATCATCATTATCATCATCATTATCATCATTATCATCATCATTATAATCATGATCTCTTTTACATCGTGCACACGATCATAAAACGTTTAACATTAATTAATTAATGTAAAATCTTTCGAATAATTCATTTATAATTGTAATATACAATTTAATTAAAAATAAATAATCGACTTTGTTTTGTTTTGTTTTTTTTTTTTATAATAAATATCCAAATTAAATTTGCTTTTTCTTTTTCATATCGGTTTGTTCACTTTTGTTAAACTTAAATTAGAAAAAAGCTTGGACACAACACTAACGAATAATTTAAAATAACAAATTATCAATTTGTTCGAATTAGGAACATCTGTATATTGAACCCTTTCGCTAGTATGGGCGACTATAGTCGTTTTCCATAAAATGCCACTGACGTACTATTACGGACGACTGAAGTAGTCTCCTCTTTACATAAAATGCCACTCACATACTACTACTACTACGAGCGGTTATAGTCGCTATGTATAAAATGTCGCATAATTGTACATTGTATAATACATAATACATATGACGAACGATTTAAATTAATATGTTTAATTGTTATAAATATTTTATTTTATTTTTTTGTTTTGTTTTAATAAACACTGTCAAAACCCAAATCAGGTTGTCGTGAAAATCATAGACATGGCCGCTGTCTATTTTACTCAAGCACCGTGTGCACACTTTTGGTGCAGCTGCACGTGTTCAACGAAAATACCATGGGCGACCAGAAGTCGCCCGTCGCGAAAGGGTTAATAAAACATACTCATGATTCTTTTGTCATTTACGAAAATTAAATTGTATTATTTAAAAAGAAACTGCTGCTACTGTGGTATCTCGAAAATTTATCTCTTTTTTTTCTTTCTTTCTTTCTTTCTTCTTCTTCTTCTTAACACGTTGAGCTACCGCACGAATTTAACGTGACTTGCCCAAAACGCCAACATGCATTTTTCATTATACGCCACCGCGTCACCGGTGACGCCCCCACGGCGCTGTAGCCAAATCGAGTGCCGATGACCCTCACGGCAGTCAACGTGTTAATCAAATCTGTACCCATAATTATGAAAGTGATCTATGTCAAAATTAATTTAAAAAAAGAAAAAATGAATTTATCAGTTATTACGCATTACATTATAATAAACACTAAATAAATTCAATGTCATTTTCATTTTGATATTATCAACAATGATTCGTTAGATAATGTTTGTTCATTTCAATATTGTATCAAATTTATATAGTGTGTTCAAGTATAAATCTTGAAATATCTCGAAACAAGAGATGTATGACTTAAACCAGGGAGTCGGCAACCTTTTCAGTCGGAAGAGTCAAAAATTACAATTTACAAAATGTTGTCTTGCAAAGAATAAAATAGTACTCGCATCTCTCAGTCGTTGAGAGATAAAATCGGTGCTTAATCCTCGTTAATCGATTCAGAACGATTTTTAAATGTTTTTATTCAACTTTTTCAACTAAAGAGCCGCATGTGGCTCGCGACTGACTTTAGACCACTTTCATAATTTATGGGCACATATGATATACAACATATATCAAGTTATATGTTTACATTCGAATGAAGTCAAAACTAGAAATTTGTTATTATATAAAACAAATGCATCATTGGCTGTTAACACACTATCGGCAAGTTGGGTATTTTGACCCGTTCCACAGACTGGCGCTGGTCGGCGGATCGCGTATTAATACGTTTTATACAGAACGTAAGTTAATTTTTGAATAAAACACTTATTAATGCTCATTTTTTTTTTTTTATCATTGTCATTAATTTGTGAGCATAAATGATGTTTTTGGTTACTTTTTTTTTTGTAAAACCTGACCAATGTTTAGTCATAAATTGAAATGTGCTATTTTAACACTGTAAGTTTCATGTTTACAAAGTTAGCAGCATAAATTCAATTGATTGATTTTAAAATAGCATTGAATTTCAATTTTCCATATCTTCGAAATACTATTTAATACTTATTTTTCAAATTTCATTGAAATCCTACTATTAGATGTGAAGATATATAACAACATCATCATGTTTTCTAAATAGTGCAACTGTTGTTTTCATATTTCGCTGATTTTCGCGCGCTACAACGGCGCGAGTCAAGCTCACGACATTCCCAACGATAGTGTGTTAAGATAAGCTGATTAAAGATTCATTTTACAGATTAAAAAAAAAACAATTGAATAAAACAATTGTCATTAATAGACACAATAAGCAAATTTTACGTATTTTACATATTCTTTTTGTTTAAACAACACTGATCTCTCTTTTTATGCCAATAACGCATCAGACTCAAGATTTATGTACTCCTTCAACTTGGTGCTTCCATATTTTTTTTTATACGTTATATATATATATATTCATTTAAATAATACAAAACGTGAGAATTAACAAATACAACGTAACGTATAATTGAGAAAAACA